TTTTGTGAAGTGATTTACTCCATACAAGCATGGAACTACTCAGTTGGGCTTATTGTGGACTGTGCCTTTACACGACTTAGATCAGAATGCTCGGTTCGCTTACACAGGAAAAGAATTGTTGTGCGTGGCATGCTGACTACACTTTTGAGTTACTGGGCTGCAAAACTTCGACAAATGTTGATTGTCACGATTAATTTTGAGAGAACCATCTCTTGGTTCATGTTTGGACACAGGGATAACAAAGGGTGACTAATCGTGAGTGTTTTTCTAAGTTACACATACAATTCTGTGAGCTCTTTTCTATCGCGGACGCTGCCTTTGAGACTCGCGGTTGCTCTTATGACGCTTCTATAAGTTTCATTTCTTTCTCCTAGGTGTGGAGCTGTCTCCTAACTTTTTCAAAAGCATCACCTTCCTGACAGCTTAACCCCGGCTTTACTGTCACATTACACATATAAAGTATTAACGTGCTCCTATTTCAGGTCATAGATCGCTTGAGAAGGCATCTCTCCCTGGAGAAGAGCACATCCCCGCAAAGACAGGTAGGCAATGCTTTTTGTATAACGATACCTTTTAATGATGCTCCGACCCTGAAATTAGGGCTAGCTCTCAGCTTACTCAACAGTGCGTTCTAGAGAAACAATGAGATTCTCGAGCACACGAATCCATCTCAGGGTAGTCGGCTTACTAAGTGGTTGCGGCCCAAAATGAAAAAGAGTCGTATTTGGTGGAGACGGAGGGGGTCGTATGTGCTTTTGAGAGCAATTTGCTGCGTTGACAAAAAATTTCCACTGGTTGTTGACTCTCTGTTGCACTATATGTACACCTCCCCCCCCACTCGGCGGGAAATCTTTGAGTGAAAAACTAAAAATGTGGGAAATTGATAGGGGCACGTAGGTGGGGGAGGGGTCGTACTGACACCCCCTCTTGGAGGGAGTCGGGAGTCATACCTACACACCATTTCACACATCACGATGCTGTACCCTGTGTGGTACTAGGTTGAAGAAAAACGACACGAAACGGTCAAAATTTTTCATTAGCACGACGCGACCCACACTCTGTCCGTTGATTTCTGTCGGTGGACGAGTTAGCTGCCATCGTGAACCTGCTGAGCACAAAATGTCAGCCCCTCGCCTTGAGTCTCCGCCACAAGGATCAGAGTAGGGCGGCTAGGTGAAGATTACTGGTTTTGGCCTCCATTTCAAGAGAAAGGTCGTAGCGTTGTCGTGGTTTTAGAGGCAGAATTCGCGATGAGCCAGCAGAAAGTTCGTTAATAGCGAGGTTAGAATTAGATATGTCTGTGCTGGTTGACTAGACCTTAAAGGAAAAAGAAGAGGAAACGTTTACCAGTAAGACTCTACCATGCCAAACAAGCAATGAAGAATGATGTGGATATCGGGCGAGAGCCCAGAGAAAGCGGCAAGAGAGTATGCAAACGAGCAAGACAGCAGTGAAGACATCTGTCAAAGTGGGCGAAATCACTCGAGCAAACTTGTGCCTTGGCGCTACTACCTACTACCACTTAACAAGAAACTTGCAGGACTGTCGTGCAAGTCCACTCTACTCTCCAATGAAAAACTAGATAATTATAAAGTAATTCCTGAGCTTCGCTTTTTATGACCTAGCGGCTCAGAAAAATGCAGCTGTCAAAAATCTTGCGTGCCATGGATTGACGAACAGTATCGGTCGAGCTCACTCATTTCAGGAACAGACTAGTGCAAACATGTGGCATTATTATTTCTTTAGTGGTAGTATGAAAATATGTTAGAAGTGCATATGGCCTTCATGAAAATTTCGTTTTATCATCGTAAAATCAGAAATCTTCATTCTCTCAGGACAGCTCCTCAAAGGATCAATATTGCAGTGTGCCACGGGACCGACAAACCGGCTTGCGGGACGGAAGCGATCCGAAGGAAGTCCGAGAGATACCGGATGGTTTGAACGAGAGCTCAGTTCCGTTGCTTCGTTTTGATATGGTGATAGTAACTCTAAATGCCGCCGCTTTTGGCCTTAAGCGAGTTTGTTCGTCAGGCTCCGTACCGCCTAAACAAGCGCTCCTCCCCTAATAACTGGTCGTTCAACAGAGGAGAAGTAGCGAAGTACGTATGGTAGAGATGGAAAACTCGTCGCGACCAATGGCGTAAGTCGCAGTTCAAGCTCCTGTCTCCTCATATACCACTGCGGTTAAAAATGAAGTGCTTAGTTATGCTTTTAGATTGATTAATGGCTCGTTATATAATATAAAACGACCGGAAGCTCGGCTAGTAGAGAAGATCAGAAAGTACTTTTCGCGGCGGAAATGACAATTCGAGCCATGCCTCGACCTCTGGCCAATGAGATGCCGACTCCCTATAGACGGTAGTGTGGCCAATCCGTCTTTTGTTGGAAGAGCGATTGCTTCAACTTAAGTAATTTCAGGAACGTTGGGAGAACAAGAAGTGTGGAGGGAGGTCGAAATTGCCTTGCTTCTCCACCCATTTCAAATATCGATACTACCCCCGCCCCTTCCCGCTCCGAATCAGTTCGATGAGGAGGAGTAGCAGGGGTGGTGTAGGACCGAAGCGCCTAAAAGGATGCTTCGTACGGATTCAACCGAAATCCGCTATACTAAATGAATGGTGACCCTGCGCATGTCCAAGCATGAACCGGCGGTACTGTCTTCAGGAGGGCTGATTAGGTCAAGTACTGTGGCAAGGCCATGTTCGTTGGCTTGTTCAATGTTTTTTTTGTTGCTGCTACTGTAAATCGTTTTCGTTTTATCATCGTAAAATCAGAAATCTTCATTCTCTTCAGACAGCTCCTCAACAGGCAAACGCAGGTGCAGGGACACGAGCAACACCGCTGGGCACAACATCGAGGGAACCGAGAGACCGGATGGTTGAAGAGAGTCAGTCGTTGTTCTGTTTTGATATGGTGATATACTCTAAATGCCCCCTTTGGCGCTTAAGCGAGTTGTTGCAGGTCCGAAGAAAAAGCGCTCTATACTGTCGTTCAACAGGAGGAGAACTAGCGAAGTACGTATGGGTACAGATGGAAAACTCGTCACCAATGGGTAAGTCGCAGCTCAAGCTGTCTCATTACCCATGGGTTTGAATTGAGTGCTTGATATGTTTAGATTTGATGATAATTCTCATAACAAACGACCAAGCTCGCCTATAGAGAAGATCAAGTCTCTTTTCCGCAAAAATGACAACTCGACCACTGCCTCGACCCTGGCCAATAATGACTACTATGCAGGACGGTATGTGGCAATCGTCTTTGTTGGAGAGCGATGCTTCACTAAGTCACTTTCAGCTACTCGGGAGGCATAGCAAACGACAAGGTTTACGGGGCGTATCCCTCCACAAATGTGTCTGCCGCTAGAGAAGCATACGTGCCTCAATACCGAAAATATCCAGGTATATAGAATAGATTCCATAATATACTATCTCTTCTTTGGGTAAAGTCTGCTTTCGACGTGCTTATGTCGAGAGAAACTCGGAAGATGAGAGTTTTGTGTAGGAATATAGGAACATTTTAGTGAGACTCGACAAAAATACGTACAGTAGCGAAAA